AGAGCACACAGGGCTCGATCTCACAAACCACGAGATCATGACCTGAGCTGAAACCAGGAGTCAGACATTGAACTGACTGAGCCATCCAGGCACCCCAATAATCTTTTTCTGAGGGTACCACACCCTGGATTTTACCTTGGTGACCATTCCTCAGCCAAGTCAGACAAAATCCACCTATCTCCCACCCCCCCTTCACACCATGTCATAAGACCCACCCGTAAAGTTATATCCTGGTCTTCAGAATGCTCTCTCTATCCCTCACTTTACCCCTCATAGGAATGTTCATTCAGGGTTCTCATTCCAGAGCCACTTTTCAGAATAGACATCAGGGAACAATTCCTAGAATCAAGGGTTATTTGGTAGGAGGGAGAAAATCTCATCAGACTTCACGTTCTAGCTTCCTAGAAAAAGGTTGATATGAGTGAATACATCCACCATCACAGCCAAGAGGTTGCAGACCAGCAGCCAATGGGCCACACCTGACCCACAGAAGCATTTCACTTGGCTTGCGTGGTGTTGGCCGACACTAGGTTTCCAGTTTTGACTAGAGTTGCCTGTATTTTCCCACAGACAGACTTAGATCCTCAGGTCTTCAGTTCAGAAATTTTCCAGCTTCTCTTGAACAAACTGTAGGATAGGGCAGCCCTCCATGGTAACAATTGCTAAAGCCATGAACTTTCTAGTTGTCCCATAATCCCTACCACTTCCTTGAGGGTTCGCTAGACTCTTATCAGCTCAGAGAGGCCTGCTTCCATCACTTATGGTACCGGCCCGTCCCCAGTGGTACAAGAGTTTGACAGCAGTTCCATTCATAAAAAAGTGGCCAACTGACTTTACAAAGGAATTGTGGTTGAACGCATGGCCCCTCTGCTCTCTATGGCATGGTATTCACAGTGTTAGACAGCAGTGAAGTCAATGAAAAAAGAGGAAGACAAGATGTAATCATAAGGAATCAGTGTAGGGTGCAAGTGGCAAAAGTAAAGTACTTGTTTCATTCTCCTTGAGGAGCCCATGATTTGCCTACCAAACTGATATCTGCTACTTGTCCTGTGCAGTCAGCTCGCCCAACACCAATATGGTAGCCACTGAAGTTCTGAAATAGAGGAGGCTCTGGGGTGGTGGTCACCGGAGGTCCCTGGGTGGCTGTGGAGCCATGTGTGAGCGTCGAGCCTTGAGTGGCCGTGGAGCCCGGCATGGTTGGGGGGCTCTGGGTGACCGGAACACCTGAATCTAAAAGCAGAACATTTAAGAAACAACAGTTCAGTCCACTTATCTGTGGGCATCAATTAGAATACAGAGGTTCAGGTTCCCATGGAAAAATCTTTATATACTGTCTTATATTTAAAATAAACAGAAAGAAACCTCTCAGGAACTTGTTGTATACAACAACCCTAAGGAGGATCTTTCTGGTAAGCTGGAGATGTGTCATCCTAACAATCAAGGCCTGTGTCAAATGTCCATCCGCTTCTCATCACAAGCTGTTCCTTGTCAAACTCATGGCCCTTCACTCACTCCTGATGGACTTTTCTAGCCACACAAAGCAGGCGCCAGGTTCCTCAGGGGCCAGCCTCTGGGGATTTGTCTCCACGGCTCTCTCCGTCCGGAGACCCCCACTCCTCTCTGTTCCACCAACCGAGCTCCAAGACTCCCTTCAAGTTGCTTCATTTCCATCACACCCAGAGGCAGCTCAACCCTCCTGGCAGGAGGCCGCCCCCCTGTTGTCTCTACTCTGCACCCACAACCTTCTCAAGCCTTCTATTTGGAATACAGATGAGATCACTGCACGTTCAACATAGTTGCACCTTATTGTAATCATATCACCATCTATGTACGTGCCTGTACACACATATGTCCACACACACACATACGTGAATATCAAGGGAAACAGAATGGCAGAAAGACTACAAGAGCAGGTACCAGAAACAAACAACCTGGGTTTAAAAACTGATTCTACCACATACTAGCTGAACATATTAGCTGAAATCGCTTACCTGTTCTACCTCAATGTTTCTCATCTAGAAAAGAGAGGCAGTCCTAATATGCTAACTTCCTAGGGTTGTTTTGAACAATAGATATGTTAACACATATCAAAAATTTCGAATAATGGCCAGAATATAGCTTTGGTTCTACTTACCTATTGAGATATCTTACACATGCATGTTGTTTGTTTGTTTCCACCCCAGACAACAGCCAGGGTGGCCAAGGCAACGGAGGTCACTGTCACAGGCCTTAGTGCTCAGAAAAGTACTTGGTGAAGAGATTGGCTGCTGACGTCCCTGAGATCCTAGAATTTAGGGGCTCAGGAGAAGCTAGAGATCATCTAGTCTGATCTCCTTTGCTTTACATATAAGAATCCTGAAGCCCAGAGAAGTGATGTAACCACAATGTTATGGAGAACACGGGATGAATCAGGTGTAGACACCAGATCCTCCAACTAAGGATCTAATGCTCTTTCATCCATATTCAACATGGAGTTAGAATCCACATTTTCTCAACACCAAGCCCATGTTTTCCACAAGACATCAAGTATTGCAAGGAAGGAGGCAGTCACTTTTGCCTTATTGATACTAACATAGGAATGGGGTATCACCCAAAGCCGAACCAGGTCCAATGGCCAAGGGCAATTTCCTTATGACCTCAGAGTCTCAAGTTCTACATCCAGAAAGCGGTACTAAGACTAGCACCTACCTTTATAGAAGATTCATGAGAATTAAGTGGGAAAAGGATGTAGACTCCTGACCACAGTGCTTGACACAAAGCGACCGTACAATAAACAGCTGCTCCTACTATGAGAATAGTGACCATAATCATTGATCACCTCCGTGAGTCTCAGCCTCTGGATTCTCTAACTTTAAGAGCTAAAACTGAATAAGTCCTATGGATGCTTTCCTTTCTTGGAGTCCATGCCCCTTCCCTGCACACTGCTGGCATAGAGGATTTCTGTCCCTCTGTGTCTACAGGGAGTTCAAAGTGCAGGCTCATGGTAGACACTACAACAGAAAGAAGAAGAGGCCACAAGAGAGAAAACTAGGCTGAAAAAAATCAGGCTCTTTCTCTGTTTGGCCTAAAGCTAGCCCTCCCCTTACTTTGGTCAAAGCATTCAACACCCACCCATCGTTTCTACTCATTTACCAGGTATGCAACCCACCACAAAGGCAGGGCTCCATCAAATGGCCAGGGCCCCAATATTGCCCGCAAATGTAGCCTGCATCGTTTTCAAAAACTAAATTCATTCCCAATATTAAAAAAAAAATCAGGAGATGCCTAAATCCTCCAGTTTCCAGCTTCTGCTGCAAACTCTGGAGATCTGAATCCATGAGACACCATTTCAACTAACAGCTCACACTCAGGAGGGGCTGCAGACCCCCTTCACCAGAATCTCACCTCCCCCACCCTGACTCCCCTCCCCACCCCATCTCCTTTACAGAACTTGACCGGTCCTCCTGAGAATTGGAGTTCAAGGCCCCCTTCTCTAAAGCTCAGCACTACTCGATATTCAGTGGGTCTTTCATTCTGCTTTTGTTCCCAAGAGAAGATGATGCCCAAGAAAAGGCAAAGAGCAAGAGAAGAGGCTTGGGGGGAGGGGGGCCGGGGATGCTCGTACTACTGGCCCTTGAAGAATTCTGAACTGGGCTTAGGTCAGCGGAGAAGTGAGACAAGCCCATGGCAGAGTGCCTGTCAACTGCCTACTTGGGGGCAAAGGTAAGCCTGATAACAATTGCTGTCAATGCAGAAAGTACAATTAATGGACGGGTTCGGTGGCCATCCCGGGCTGCTTACATACCAGTTGAACTGCCCTGTTATTGGCATTATCAGCAGGCACTGTTCCAGGCACTGTTCCTTGTCCCCAGTCATCCAGAAATTTCCCACAGGCTAGGAATAGCATCCAAGGGAGCCCATGACAACTTGCCTTTATGATTTTCAATGGTCCCACTGGTAATAAACAAGAGGCTGAGGAGGGCTACCGTCACAGCAGTCATCATCACGAGGAGGAAAATCAGGAATGCCTCTAATGTAGAGAGGGTGTGTTTGGCCATGTCTCCTGAGGAAAAGCAGAAATGGAAGAGGCAGAAAATGGCAGAACCACAAACTACAACACATATGCTTTGCGCTGCCCAAGGCTAAGATGTCTTAGCTCTTCTAGAATGGACTATACACCAGGGAGGACAAGTACAGAGCATACCTATCACATCCGGGGCCATGGCAGACAAGACCAAGCAATTACAGCACTCTTTGATAAGCTCATATGTGGTTTCCAAACACTTCCTAGAACAGAGCTCGTTCTAGAGAACCACCCATCATTTGGCATTGGCGATGAAGCTAAAAATCTATTTGTATTCCTTGGCTGTATCATACAGCTTTCATTTATGTGATGAAGCCATCTGCACACGGGCCTAGGTTGGAACACATCTGTCAACAGGGCTGATTGCTCTTGTGAGAAGGCTGGCTGCAGTTAGGGCTGTCCCCTGTGGTCATGGCCTTGGGAAAACTACCTTGTCTACAAGGAGGTGAAACACATAACTTTGGCCTTGCAACTCCATTTGCTAACTTTCAATTCCTACTTGATGAGAAACCAACACGGAAGACCATCTCTGGTCTCAAGCCAGACATCAGGAAAATCTCCCTCTCTGTCATCAGAAGGATCTCACACATCTTGCAAACCTGTTGAAGGATGGGGACAAAGATAATGCTCTTGTGTTCTACCATAGCAGGAAATGTCCCTACAGATGCCCGAAGATATTTTAGGAGTAGGATTCATTGTTACTCAGCAAGGCTATAGAAGCTAAAAGTCCGTATCAGGTAGCGGGAGAAAGTATAATATGGTGGATAAAAATTGGATTCTGCCTTCTAACTCCAGAGTCCAAAGCTCATTTCTGCCACTTACTGGACAACCTTGGGGAATCCTCCCCAACACTGAGCCTCAGTTTCTCTGTCTGTAAATAAGGATGTGGTGATGACGATAATTTTAGTACCCATCTTATAGAGTTCTTATAAAAAGGAGATGGTGCAGTAATAATTCGTTCGTCCCATAGACTGCAATAGGTGTTTATGGTGTTTGCATTTATCATTAGGTCCCAAAATAGCAAAGACTCTGCTCCTCACTGTCCTCAAGGGAAATTTATATGAAGTTAGTGTTAAAAAATTATTGGAATCACACATACAAACTTTGGAACCCGTTTTCTTAACCCATACTTCAGGAAGCCTGAGCAATGAGACGGGATTAGAGTCCAGGACTTGCTCCCACAATGGGTAATATGCAGCCATATTAAGATGCTATTACCCCCCAAGAGTTGTAAATTGGCAACAAATGGGTGGGCTTAGCACGCCCCAATTTTCTGTTTCAGTTTGATTTAGTTGACAAGACGGAGGAGCTTACAGTCCATCTGGAAGAGAGTCCACAGTTACAAATCTAAACCTTCAGGTTTTCTCTCACGTTTCATAAACCATGGTAACACTGAGCCAGAAGCTTGGTAAAACCGAGTAGTTACTGTGACATTTAGATAGATACAGCATGCCTTCTCCAGCCTACCACAACCTCTTCCCAGTGGATCTTTTCCATCTAAGTTACTACCTGGTCTTTGTAGTTATTTTATTGAGCAATCCCTGGACTAGAGTTTAAAAATCAGTCTAACATCAAATACTTCAGAAGTAGGGCTGAATTGGAAGTGGACAAAGAGACTTGAACATCTTCCCAAATCTCTTGGTTATTAGCAGGCTTCCCTCAACCACTTATCACCACTGTCATCACCTTCACCACCACCGTTAGGGACAATTTCAAATGTAGGGCAACACAAATGAGTTCTGATCTTGGTCCCAACATTCACTGGCCAGTCCCCGGGAGTCAGGAGACACCTCTAAAATATGCCTCTGAAACTCTGATGATCCAAATAAGTTTACTGGTCCTTAGGTGGTGTTTCAGTGGCCAACCTCAAGCCCAGTATACCCAGTTCTTTCTCAAAGCTTTGGTTTCATTAGGCTTCCTGCTGGCTGGGATTGCAGGACCGACAGGGCAACTAAACATGGCTGACCGACAGGGGGATCTCCCAACGCGAGTGTCTACACACGCGCTGCAGATGTAAACGTGGCCATGTGCTATGAGCCTGTGCAACAAGTAGACATGGTTCAAAAGAATACTTTTTTCTTTTTTGCTTGTTTTATTGGGCTGAAGTGATCACCACCACCAGCCTTTTACACAAGTCCACAATGGCACTTGATTTAACACTAAAGTTTGCACCGCCTACTCGGATTTCAATGATGTACCTCCCTGGGTCTCACCACCCTGTTGCCAGAATTAATGCCAACTTTTAATGTTCTTTTTTAACCAGTGAGCACTATTTATTTTTCCTTGATGACCCCAAATCTGAAGGCAAATGTGAAAGAAAGCAAATGCCTCGTCTGCCTTCAGAATGCAAATGGACCACGGAGAGCTGAGCCAGTGGTTGTAACTTAAAAGATTTGGCATTTCCCACTGGTTCTCACTTGATCCAGTGCAATTCTGCAAGCTCGGTGATGAGGCTTTATGACAACAGTGAGCCCCTCGGCACATCTTTACCATGTTGAGGTCTCTGTTTTACAAGACTGTGGAAGGGAAAGGTAATGACTTGGCAAAATGGGTTTCCCAAAGCTAAGGAAATGGAGTGGAGCTTTTAGGATTTCATCAAGATCTCTAAGACAAGAGGATGATTCAAGATCCCTCTCTCTCCCTCCAAGAAAACAGAACTTTCTTACCTGATTCAACCCGTCAAAAGAAATTCCGCATCCCAGCAAAGCAAATGACAGTCCAGAATCTCGTTCCTTTCCCCTTGCACGTTGCTCAGCCCAGAGTTCTCAGCACGTTCTGAAACATACTGAAGAAAGAGGTTCCCAGTCATGCCCAGGAGAGTTAGGGTTCTCATTAGCATACCTTTGTGGGCTTGGTGCAGGATGAGATTAAAGGGTATTGATAACAAGAGCCTTATCAGCCTCCCCTGGGACAACCTGATACTGAGATAGAAGTTGCAAAGGATCCGGAGGACTGAAGGTCACTGATTTCAGCCCTTACACACCTCTCCAGTACAAGTTCTGTGCGAGGTCTACAGCCTGGCTCACCAAAAAGAGCACTTGCTTTACTTAACACTGGTAACTCACCCAGAGACAAGGAGGGAATGATGATGCATGCTGGACATTAGTGTGGGCCATGGGTCCCATTGGGCAGCGTTTACACTGATCTCAGAAGAGAAAGGTGATTTTAACTTTTAGATTCTTGTATACAAAAAGAATGAGGTTTGGGGCGCCTGGGTGGCACAGTCGGTTAAGCGTCCGACTTCAGCCAGGTCACGATCTTGCGGTCCGTGAGTTCGAGCCCCGCGTCGGGCTCTGGGCTGATGGCTCAGAGCCTGGAGCCTGTTTCCGATTCTGTGTCTCCCTCTCTCTCTGCCCCTCCCCCATTCATGCTCTGTCTCTCTCTGTCCCAAAAATAAATAAAAAAAAAGTTGAAAAAAAATTTTAAAAAGAATGAGGTTTTAGAGGTGCCTGGGTGGATCAGTCAGTTAAGTGTCCAACTCCTGATTCCGGCTCAGGTCATGATCTCACAATTCATGAGTTCGAGTCCTGCATTGGGCTCCGCACTGAGAGTGTGAAACCTGCTTGGGATTCTCTCTCTCTCTGTCTCTCTCTCTCTCTGCCTTTCCCCTGCTGCTCTGTCTCTCTCAAAATAAATAAATAAACGTAAAAAGAAAAGAATGGGGCTTTAGATGAACTAAGAATGTAAATAATGGACATACAATGCCCATGTGAATAATGTGCAACCATTACCAATGATATAGAAGAAAATAATTTAATGACTTGGAAAAAGTTACTGTATTATTTTAAAGATTTTTTTTTTTAACTTTTTTTTTTTTTTTATTTATTTTTGGGACAGAGACAGAGCATGAACGGGGGAGGGGCAGAGAGAGAGAGGGAGACACAGAATCAGAAACAGGCTCCAGGCTCTGAGCCATCAGCCATCAGCCCAGAGCCTGACGCGGGGCTCGAACTCCCGGACCGCGAGATCGTGACCTGGTTGAAGTCGGACGCTTAACCGACTGCGCCACCCAGGCGCCCCACTGTATTATTTTAAATTTATAAGACATTATAATCCTGTTTTGTTCATTTTAATTATTAATTTTTTTATAAACTGTTTTTATGGTTTATTGTTTATTTTTGAGAAAGAGAGAGAGACAGAGCATGAGCAGGGGAGGGGCAGAGAGAGAGAGAGAGACACGGAATCCAAAGCAGGCTCCAGGCTCTGAGCTGTCAGCCCAGAGCCTGATGCGGGCTCGAACTCACTAGCTGTGAGATCGTGACTTGACCCGAAGTCGGATGCTCCAACCGACTGAGCTGCCCAGGCACCGCTATAATCCTGTTTTTCAAACATTATTTATCTATTTGTGGTAGCGAAGACTGTAAGAAATCACAGCAAAATGTTAAGAAGTAATTATCTGGTGATAAGACTGTGAGTTTTGTTTTCATCTTTTCGATTCTTGGTGTTGTCTGTAAGGGCCATGCACATTTTTATATTGGGGAAAACCCTCCTCTTGAAGCAGGTATACTATAGAGCAGCATGAAGGTTAAACAATGGCCCACGAGAGACAAAGAGAGGAAGGAATAGGGAAACCCCTATTTCCTTTTTTTCCCTGCTAGATCCCAGCTGTCCAGGAAGCAGTTGGAAGAACACATAGGCCACTGAATTCCTTGCAGGGTCAAGAGAGACCAGCCCCCGACATTCCAAAGGAAATATTCGAGATCTAAGGGCCTTCCAACAGGGCATTTCATAATGTCACTCAGCTAGCTCTCTGCTATAGTGGGGCACGGGTTAGATTATGGTAGTAAATGAGGGTTCCTTTCATGCATTTATGTTAGAATTCTTGGTGCCAAGCAGCAGAGGGCAAATCCAGCTAACTTAAGCAGCGGAGGAAGGAGAGAGAAATAAATCCACTCGAAGGCAGAAAATCAGGTGAAGACATAGGCTCTGGAAAGCCAGAGATCAGGGCAGATCCAGGTGGCAGGACGTCCTGAA